CGAAGAATTTTATTTAAAACTAGAAAATGTTAATTGTTAATATTTTCAAAAATTTTAATATAATTCTTCGCAAGAATTCAATTATTTTTAACAAAATTTTAATAAAATTTAACAAAAGAATTCAAATATTTTGTAAAATTTTAATAAATCCTTCTAAAAAATTCAATTATTTTTTTTAAATAGTAAAATTTAGCGAAAATTTAATTATTTACAAAAAAATTTCGCCAAAGAATTTAATTTTTTTAACTTAATTCGTTACAAAATTGGTCAAAGGAATTCAATTATTTCCTAAAATTTTAATTAAACCTTCGTAAAAATTCATTTTTTTCATAAATAGTTAAACTCTTTGCAGGAATTCAATTATTTTAAAAACAATTTTAATTAAAATTCCTCAGAAAAATTGAATTTTTAAAAAAATGTTTAATTCATTTCTAACAAATTCAATTATTTTCTAAAATTTTAATAAATCTTTCGAAACAATTCAAATTCAATTATTTTTATAAATATAGTAAAATATTTCGCAAGAATTCAATTATTTTTAATCCAATTTTAATCGAATTCCTCGAAAAGTGTAATTATTTTTAAGAATTTTACTAAAATTCAATTTCAACAAGAATTAAAAATTTTTTAAATATAATTGAATTATTCTCAAAATATTAAAAAAAAAATCTATATAAAAATTAAATTACTTTCAATGCAATTTTTTTTTTATTAACGAACAGATTATGTAACGATTATTAACATAGAAGATTTATTAAAATAATTAAATTCCTCCGGGGACTTTAAATAAAATCGTATTGAAAATAATTGAATCGTTTCCAAGTATTTCATTCAAATTTTTGTAAATAATAAATAATTAATTTGTGAATAAGGGAATTTTTTTTGGAATTTTGAAAATATTTCATTTTTCTAAATAAAAATTGAAGAAACAAATTTAAAAAAGGAATCTAGTTGGAAAAATTGAAAAACCAATTAAATTTTTTCTGTCTTTTCCTGATTTTTCTGTTTATCATTAAATTTTTCAGAAAAGAAGTCACTTTTTTTTCTCACCATTCTGAGATTGAAAATATCTCGAGACACACCCATGTGTGAATAGTTTTTTTTGCTTCTTCTTCTTTTTCTTCTTCAAGTTTTGTGTTAAAACGTCGAGCAATGTAACGTTCCAGTTTTTCGTCAGACAAAAGTGGCGCTGAGTGAAACATCGTTGCGGACAGTCGCTTCTACATGACAAAAACGCAAAGAATCGTTAGCCAGCTACTGATATGTTGTTGCTCCTCTCGTCTCTTTACTGCTGCAGAAATCTCGCGTCAAGTGTCTCAGGAACGACAATTTCTTCTAACTCGGTAATACACTTTTTACAGAATCTTCAGCTGCATACTCCTGGAACGAGTAAACCAGTCAGTAAATTATCAACCGCTGATTGATCGCTAAAATTCTTTTCTTTCAACTTACCAGAAAATTTCCAAAAGTTTCCTTTAATATTCCAAAATATTTTCCTATATTTCTGGTCAATTATATTTTGTCATCTTGCCGAAAAGTTTTTTCCCTGAAAATTATAAATCTTTTAGTAGTAAATTCCTTTATAGTAAATTCTTTGAGTAGTAAAAAGAAATTAAAAGACATTTTTTTACCCTTTTTTTCGAGAAAAAAAGGAAAAATACTCCCCTGTGTTAATTTTATAATTCATCTACACGTCGAGAACAAATTTCAAACGATTAACATCTTTGGGAATTTATAAACATTTTTTCTTCGTTTTAAATAAAAAAAAAAAATGGAAAATTTTTTTTTTGGTCGAATGTCATTATAATGATTGGAAGCTAGACGCCATCGAAATCGTTTGAGGGAATCCGAGAGGAGATTATCTGATTGCGAGCAACCGAGCGAATGGTCCAATTCTTCCAATTAAGCTTTCGCACTTTTTGATGATATATATATACGCGAGTTGTGCGAGACATCGCAGAAAAGGTCGACGAAGCGTCAGCGTCGAGCCTCAAATTGGATTAAGTCACTTCGTGTGACAATTGATTTATCTCATCAGCATTGTAATGCCAAACCAGTGAATCTCGTGAAATGACGTCTCTGCACAAAACCGGTGTACACATATATACATACTCACGCGATCGTGCGCGGCAATCGCCACCCTTTCCCTATCGATGAACCGATTTTAAACTACCAAGGCGAGAAATCGAGACACATATACGATGCAAATTAAGATATCGAGAATGGTTTTACAAAATAAAGAGAAAAAAAAGAAAGGGTTCTAATAAAATATAATAAAAATACGAAAAGAAAGAATTTTTATGTTAATGAGATAACAATAATGTGTAGGAAAATATTTATAATCTCATTTTTGAAGATTAATAATCAAATAATATTTAATACTAAATAAAAAAAATATTTCAAAAAATATTTTAAAAATAATTTAAAAAAGTTAACTATTAATTAAATATAATTTTTTGACTTTATCGCTCAGCAGTCTTAAACTCAATAGTATTATTTATTATCAATTAAATAGATATCTGTTATATTTAGAAAGAACTTTAGAGCAATTCCACGTGAAACAATCTGTGTAATTTTGACAAAACTTGACAGATTTTGATTTTGATTTCAAGATTTTTAAGCATTTTTTGTGTATTTTATTATTTTTCAGTTACAAACATTTTTGAAAAAAGAAACAAATTCCAAGGCTTATTTTTTTATAGAACTTAAATTTCAACTATTACAAAAAATACATCTTTTATATTTCTCCTTTTTAATCATTTTTATTAAAAAAAAGAAATATTTTTAGAATTAAAAAAATTCACTTATTAACAAATAAACTATTATTATTTCTTATTTACAGAAATTTTAATAAAATACTAGGAAACAATTGAATTATTTATAATACAATTTTATTTCAATTCGTCGAAAGAATTTAATTACTTAAAAAATTTTTAATTGAAATTTTCCGAAATAATTCAATTATGTTTAGAAATTTGAAATATAATTTCTCGAAATAATACAATTATTTTCAATTACTTTCATAAATAATAAAATTTTCGACAGAAAATGAATTATTTTAAAAGATTTTAATAAAATTCTTTTCAAGAATATTCAATTATTTTCAACAATTTTAGTAAAATTCTTCTCAAGAATTCAATTATTTTCAAAAATTTTAATAGAATTCTTCGAATCAATTCAATTACTTTTAAAAATTCTAATATAATTCTTCTAAAGAATTCAATTATTTTAAAAACTTTTAATAAAATTCTTCGAAATAATTCAATTATTTCAAAAGTAATAAAATTCTTCGAAGGAATTCCATTACTTTTAGAAAGTTTAATCAAATTTTCTGTAGGAAGTCAATTATATTTAATATATATTTAATTTAAAAAAAAAATTCTCGAAAGTATTCTGTTATTTTTGAAAATTTTAATAAAATTCGGTATAAGAATTCAATTTTTATTATTATTAAATTTAGAAAACATTGGATTAGATTTTTATTAAGTCCCAATTTCAAAGCATTTAAAATGAAAAATTAACAAAAAAATTAGAAAAACAAAAAAATAAACAAAAGCAAATAACACTTCCAAGCAAAATGATAAAAAATTTTGAAAAATGAGTATTCTTTGTCTATTCTTTAATTCTAAAAATATATTTTTCCCCAAAAAAAATGTGAACCCCTTTTTTCAAAAATAAACCTCTATTTTCAATTTCTACAAAAACTTCCTCTTTTTCATTTTTTTTTAAATGCTAAGGATTTTTTTCTAATAAATTATGTGAAGTTTAAAAATGGAACAATAATTTGGAATTCATTCAAAAAATGTTATTAAAATTCCTAAAAATAATATAATTCTTTCGAGAAGTTTTCTTAAAATTGAATATTAAAAATAATTGACTTCTTGCAATGAATGTTATTATTTATGAAAATAATTGAATTTTTTAAAAGTATTTAATTGAATTTTTTGAAAATAATTGAATTGTTTCGTAGAATTTTATTGAAACCTTTTAAAATAATTGAATTCCTGTCGAAAATTTTATTATTTATGAAAATACAGTCGAACCTGTCGGAGTGCAACTCTATTTTAAAATTTTTTTTTCATTTAAAAATGTCCAAGAAAAATTATTTTCGCTTAATTCCAGAATATTGTAAAAATTTTTTCAAAAATAAATTATAAAACAATTTTTTAAGGATTTTTTACAGTAATAAAAAATTCAAAAAATCGAGTTGCAATCCGACAGGTTTCAGTGTAATTGTAAATATTTGTATTATTTCCAGAAATTTTAATAAAAATTTCCAAAAATAATTAAAAGATTTTCAAAACAATTTTTTATGAAGAAAAAAAATTTTTTTAAAGTTTTTTTAATTTTTTGGAAAATATAATATTGTCCCACTTTTATATTTACATGTTTTATTTGAAAAGAATCTCAGTTTTCTAATCAAAATGACAAAAAAATGAAAAAAGAAATATAATTTTATAAAATTTGAAAAATTATATTTAAAAAAAAAAGATAAAAACTTTTTGGTGTTGAAAAGTACAAAAAAATACTTTAAAATTCACTGTATAAAAATTAAAATTCTTTAAATTTTATAGAAGTGATATCAATTTGAATATAAAAACGTCCCCTAACTTATTTTTGCTATTAGATCATTTCACGTGAAATTGCTTTTTAGTTCAAATTTTTCAAAACTAAAATTTACTAAAATACTAAACTTAAAAATTGTTAATATCTCTCTATTTATACTATTTATAACAATTGTTCGGGATATAACTATTTAAAAAAAATAAAAACTCTAACGGATATTAAACATTTTAAAGTTCCAACGACTATATCGACTAATACGGAATTTACATATTTAAATTTTCAACGAAGATCACGACTTAATTATTAAAAACTAAACTATTATGGTAAATTACCATACAAACGAAAAATTGAAATAAAAGTGACAACAAAATTTTTAAAAATATTACTCTAATAAAATAAAAAAATACTACTTGGGATAAATTATTTATAAAAAAATATCCTTTGAGATAATTAACTATAAAAAACTCTGGATAATTATCTATCAAAAATACTTTCATCGCTAGAATTTAACGATCGAAAATCCTCTTCTAATTTTTAAAGTCATCGGTTTGTTTTTCGCTTCCTGGATAATTTGTAGAGCTTTCGCGTGACTCTTTCCCTTCACGTTAATTTCATTCACGAACCAAATTTCGTCACCAATTTTTAACTTTCCATCTTCTGCTGCTTGACCCCAGGGGAAAATGTTCTTGACAAATATTCCCAAATCATTAATTTTCAAGTCTGATCCGCCGACAATGGAAAATCCAAGTTTCTTAACTGACGCACTCTCTAATTGAATTACTATCAAATCCTGTGGTTGATTTACACAACTTTTCTTGAAAAAAAACTTTTTCATTCCCGTTACTTGATTACTGTCTTCCTCTTTTTCCCTTTTCTCTACTTTTACTACTTCTTTTTTTTCTCCTCCTTTTTCCCATTCTGTCTCTGTTTTTATTTTCTTCTCCTCTTCCATGTTTTCAATTTCTTCAAAACTTGCGTTTTTCCTCAAAAATCCAACAATTTTACAGCGACTATTCGTAATTTCGTGATCTTGCCTCACAGTTACATTTTCTACTTGATTGATATTTTCTGATGAATCTGGCAAATTCCAAATTTCAGATTCACTTTTCGTTCTGATCCTTTCATTTAAATGATTCGTCCAATCGTTCGATAAATTTCCCTCGAAAGAAAATTTCGGATCCCTTGAAATCATGAGTTCGACGTTTCCGAAACAATTTTCTATCGTTTGCTTCAATTGATATTCAGTTGTTCCACGAATTCGTTGTTTCGAAATTTTTACTACTTCATCTCCCAACCACAATTGTTGATGATCGGAATTATTTTTTGATATAAGGTATTTATTTTTCATCGAGTCCTGATCTCGCTCTATTATTAAACCCAATTCACCGCGAACTTTAACTTCGAAATTAATTGTTCGAACAATTTTTGGATTTAGTATTAAATCCTTTTTTCTGATTTTTGAAGACGGAAATTGGTCGTAGTGGAAATTTTCTAAAGTGGTGAGTGGACGTTTTGAAGGGAAATTATTTACATTTACATGATCCACTCGCCTTGCTGGTGGAGAATTTTTAACTGCAACGTCTTCCTCCTGCAGTAAACTCATTAAACTCATTTTGAATTTTTCCGATTTTCGCCTGAATATATTCAACTTTCTGATTGATAGACATTTCATGGATCTTCGAAGTATATTCACAATGGAACCTATTTGAACAAAAAAAAAAAGTTTTTGTAAATTTGTCAAGAAAATAAAATTCTATTTCTTACCTCTCGTAAATAGTGGCATTTTGTCCATCGGACATTATCTGAAAAAGAAAGGAAAGAATTACTCTTCAAGATAAACTACAAAAGTACTTAAAAGTCATTATCTTTAATCTTTAATAATAAATATAGATATATATATTTTTAACTTATATGAAAAAAGTCAGAGATCGAGAGAGAGAGGGAACGCTTCGAGAATTTAAAACTAAACCTAATTTATGAATCGATAAAAGTCAGGAAAAAAATATGGGGAATGAAGGAAAGAAGAAAAATCTGATAAATCGAGAGAATTGACCAAATTGGTCACGAAGATTACAGACAAGATGAATTGCGCGGTAAATTTTCTAAATCGCGTAAAATTTCACCCCATTTTTTCTCCTCTTCTTTTTTTTGAGGGAAAACTCTTGAAGAATTTTTGTTTATAGGTGAATCACTTTGATTGGTCACGGGCAAGCGGTTGTGTGTATGTTATCACATTGTGTCACTTTCTCTCTCTTTTTTTTCTTCTTGATCTCTATACCCCTCGTCGATGAGAGCATATTTTCAGTATTTACCTCTGTATACACATCACGCATACAATTCAACGCCCGAAAATTCTGCCTCAATTTCACCCCCAAACCAGTCGAGATATATGTAACATATTTGTATCGGTTCACTTGATCACCCCAATTGGCAAGGGCTGCGTTTATTCGTTTGTGAAATTAGTGCTGGTTTTGTCGTGTTTAGGCGATATGTGGGGTGTATTCCGCACACATCGCGTCCAATGCCCGCACACATCTGGGAATTTCAAAAAGTTGATCACTTTATCAAAATTGTCATTTTCATTGAGAAAATATAAATATAGAGAGTTGGGGGAAGAATTAAATCAGGGGAAATCTTTCCTTTACATTTCTTTTTTTTTTTTGACAGAAAAATCTGATTTTATTTTTTCCTGATTTCTAGACAGAATTTTGATTTTTTTTCCTGGTCTCTAAAGAATATTTTGATTAATGAAGAAAACTTATGGGAAAAACTAAAAAATTAAGAATTAGATATACAGAAGAAAATGTTTCTAACATATTTGTGAAAAAAATTATTGTTTCGAATAACTTTAAAAATCAAAGTTATTCGAAACAATAATGTTTGTCAAATAAATATTTATTATTATCATTTTTCTACAGGAATTGAAATTTTCGAAAACATCAAATTTAAAACCTGCTGAAATTGAATTATTTACAAAAATTGCAAACGCAACTCTTTCAAAATTCAATTTAGTGAAGTCAGATTTCGAAAAGAATGACTTTTTGAACATTTATCGACTATTTTTAAAAAGAGGCGAGTTTTTTCGAATTATATCCCAAAAAAGAAACTTTTTCGACTTCTTTTTCAAATATTGTTACAAAATACCATTTTTTGGTATAAAATGAATTTTGATTTTTATAGTGTAAAAAATAAGTATAATCAACGATTTAAAAAATTAATTTTTTGAATAATAATTTTTGTAAGATAATTAAATTTTCGAAATATATAATTAAAAAATCTTTAAATAATTGAAATTTTGAAATAATTTTGTAATAATTAATTCTTCATAGGAATTTCCTTCTAATTTTTGAAAATCAAATTAAGAACAATAAATTTTAATAGAAATTTTAAAAAATAATGTAATTCTTGAAAATTTTGAAGAAAAATGTTTAAATGAAAATTTCAAAAATTTATATTAAAATATTTTTTAAAAAGGTGATGCTTCTTGAATTTTTTCAATGTAGTTTTTTAAAATTCAATCATTTTCAACATTTTCAATTGAAGATCTCTGAAAATTTTACTATTTCGATAAAGTAAATAAATACAATTTTTTTCAAAAACTCTAATTATTTAGAATTATTATTAAAATTTTTGAGGGAAAATAACTATTTTCAAAAGTTTTAAATAAAATTCCTTTAAAAAAATTGAGTAGTTTTTTAAATTGTCAAAAAAATCTTTTCAAAAATTTAGCTATTGTCAAAAAAGAAAAAAAAGATTATGAATATTTTTAAAAAACTAATTCTTAGAATATTTATTTAATCATGATTCTTTTAAATTCAATTTTCTTCAAAGAAATTGAATTTAAATTTTTTAGAAATCTCCTGTTTTTAAAAATCATTAAAAATTTGAAGAAATCATCTATTTTCACAATTTATAATTAAAATTCTTCAAAAACTAGATTATTTTTTAATATTTTCTAAAAATTCGTTTAAAAAATTCAATTATTTAAAAAAATTTGTACTACATTTCAAGTATTTCAAAATTTTTCAATTATAAATAATTAAAAAATCTATTAACATCCAAAATATATTTTTAAATAATTTTAAAAGACAGTTTTTAAGAATTCATTTTAATAACTTTGTAAAAAAAATCCATAAAGAGTTTAGGTAAAATTATAAGAATTCTAGTTTTCATTTTTAAATAATGGAGAATTCTTGAAAAACTTTCGAAAAATTATTAAATATAGTTGATTTAGAGAAGAATTTTAGTTAAAAATTCAAGAAAATAATTAAATTTTGAACAAGTTGCATTTCTAATTTTTTAAAGTTGTTAAATTTCAGAAGTTTTGAAATTGAAATTTAAAAAATTTTTAATTCATATAGAAAAATAAAAAACAAGAATTTAAATGTTTATTTAACAAAATTATTGAAGTTCTGAATAATTGAATTTAGAAATCACTGAAAGGTCTAGAAGATACAAAAAATGTTTTCAAGCGAAAAACAATAAAATTGTTTGTTAAAAAATTTCTTTCTTAAAAAATTAGCCAAGAAACTATGCAAAAAAAATCTTCTAATAAAAAATGTATAAAAATTTAAATCGAAAAATATTTTTTCTTCTAAATCGTTGATTATTAACTTTGTGAATTTTCCAAAGTCAAAGTTCAATTAATTTTTTCAATTTTTAGGTAAAATTAAAATAAATTATTTCCTAAATATTTTATAATTAATAAATAATAATATGAAAGTTTTTCAAGAATTTAATTCTTGAAAACAAATTCAATTTCGTTTTCTGTAAAATTCAATTATTGTTAAAAGTAGAAAAAATTCAGTATTAAATTTTGTAGTGACTTTAAAGTTCATTAGACGAACGAAAAAAGAATTCAACAAGTGAAAATATTTTCAAAGATTCCGTAGAATTTTTTTTATCGTATCTAGTAATTTAATCCTTTTTCCATTACTTTTGATAAATTCGCTGACTTTTGCCTAATCAATTTTCCTTTCTCTGATTTTTCTCTGATTTCCCTGATCTGTGGCAATTTTGTTTTAGAATTTTTCGTTCTAAACCATATTTCGATGGTTTCTTGAAAATAAATTCCTAATTATTGCCAAAATCTATACTTGAATAGCAGGAAAAAAAATTGTAGTTTTCAAAAAAAGAAAAAATTCGGCACGGAATTAATTTCTAAATTGAAAACTAAACTTGAAATGGAAGTCATCTATTTTCCCCCCTTACAGCGTTCCAACAAAATTAAAGTGTCAACTCGTAAGAACCATGAAAATTGGAGAATTCCAGTGTTGGACGACAGGACGATGAAAGTAACGAGTGTTTTCAGAAAGTCGGCAATATTATAAGCTCGCGAGAGGAGGCAATGCGTTGTCAATATGCGTAAGCCAGGGTTCTTAGTTCGGTTGAAGATCAGCCTTAATTAACTCGAGCCGCGAAGCTCGTTTGTGCACCGCGATTGCGATGCGGCGCGGCGCGGCTTGAAGAGACTCTTCTCTTCTCTTTGCGAGAGAGCGCACATGTCTTGGGTGGTCAGTGGATTCCAGTTTCTCGATAATTGGTCGAGGTGTTTCGACACCCAACCACCACCACTACCACTATAAGAAATATAATCGAACAGACGTCTTCGGCACTGGTTTCTCTCTATATAAAAAGATATACACGAGAGATATTCGTTCCTATACAGAACGACATTGAAAACGATCCGAACGATATAGAATCGTTATATCTCTAGAGAGGCGCGAGCCAAGCTGAATTAAAAAAAAAAAAATAAATAAACGAAGAAATCTAATCAATGTGTGGGGTAAAGTGGTTTATATCCAGTCTCACCAGTTCAATAATTTCCATCCAGCGAATATAATTATATTCCTCTCCACACCCCGATGAATGTTTTTATTTTCGCGAAATTAACAAGTTTTTTTTTTTTTAAATTAAAAACTTGCTCTGTTTTTATGGTAATTTCTTCAAGAAAGTTAACAAGTTTTTATGAAAAAAATTTCTTCGCCAGGGAAACTCTTGAGATATTAATATTTTTTCTCTTTCTCTATCTTTTACTCAAGTGATTAGTTTTGCAAAATCTTGATCGTGTGTGCTATCCTCTCAATTAGAAAAGTACGATCGTAAATATGGGTGGATCGTGAACTAGCGAAACGGTAAGGCGAGTTGTTGCAATCCTTATTTCTTCGGCTTCTTCTTCCTTGTTACCAACTTGTCTCTCTGCCTCGTTAACTTTCCGCCATCTTCGATCCATATTTCGCTATTATATATATCCGTCTAATTGGATAATTCAATCACTTTCAATATACTTTCTTCCTGTAAAATCTTCATTCATAAAATTAATTGATTTTTTACCGCTAATTTATTAAATAATTAAATAAAAACAGTAAATAACTGAATAAATAAATAAATAACTGAACTAATATTTAATCAATTAATAAAAGTTACGCGCTAGCGCACGATACAAATTATTCCATGTATTAATATGCAAATTACAAAATTCCTCATTTTTAAATATCAACTTTAATTTTCGAATAATGTAAGATAAAAAATTTCCAAAAAATTCACTATTACCTAACTAATTCATTATTTATTATTTACTAAAATTTTAGTAAAATTTTGGTCAAGAATTCATATATTTAATATAATTTTAATAACATTTCTCGAAAGAATTCAATTACTTTTAAAAATTTTCATAAAATTCTTCTCAAAAATTCAATTATTTTTTTTTAATATTTATAAAATTCTTAGAAAAAATCCAATTTTTTTAAAAAACAATACTATTCTTAGTAGAAATTCAATATTTCACATAAACAATAAAATTCTTCCCAAGAATTCAATTTTTTTTCGAAAACAGTAGTATTTTTGTCAGTAATTCAATTGTTTTCATTTCAATTTTAATAAAATTTATCGAAAAAATCAATTACTTTTAAAAATTTTAATAAAATTCTCAAAAATAATTCAATTATTTTTAGGAATATTAATATAATTTTAAACAAATCCTTTGCATGAAGGATAATAATTACTTTCGTTAATAAAAAATTTCTTTGCAGGAATTTAGTGATTTTTATAAATAATCAAATTCTTCAGGGAAATTCAATTATTTTGAATATAAATTTGATAAAATTTCTTGAAAGAATTCAATTATTTAAAGAAATTTGTTGTAAAAATACAATTATTATCAATACAATTGCAATTAAATTGCTCGAAACCGAATTCATTTATTTTAAAAATTTTTAATAAAATTCCTCGAAGCAATTCTTTTGTTTTCAATAAAAATTATAATAAAAGTCTATGAAAAAATAAAATGATTTCAGATTAAAAATTATAAGTTAAGTTGTATTGAAAATAATTGAATTCTTATAATGAATGATTTTAACTTTTTTTTTAATAATTTAATAAAAAAATTTAAAATTTAAATAAATTCTTCTTTCGAGAAATTTTAATAACTTTATATTGAAAATAATTGAATTCCCGCGAAAAATTTTATGATTTATAAAAATAATTGAATTCCTGCAAAGAATTTTATCATTTACGAAAGTAATTGAATTCAAAAAATATTATGAGTGCAAAGAATGTTATGAATTTATTGTAAATAATTGATTTCTTTTGAGAAATTTTATAAAAATTTTTTTGAAAATAAGTGAATTGAATTTACAAATTAAATTGTGATTTCAAATTGAAAACAATTTTTGTCTAATTAATGTTTGTCATTATTTAATCTTTAAAACCTTAAAGCGGAATTTCATTAATTTTGAATTGAAAACATTTGAAAAGAAAAATTACAAAAAAAAAAAAAAACTAGGAAACGAAAAAAAACCAACTATCTTCAGACTGCTAACAAACATCCGGAATAAAACGATAATTAACATAGATTGATTAAATATTAATTCAGCTTTTTTTCTACTAAAAAAATATAAAAGCTATAAATCAAATTAAGGTAGAAAAATCGAGAGAGTGATTATTAATTTTTTTTCCTCAAAAATCGTTTCTAAAGATTTTGAATAAATCTCGTAAAGATAAGAAGAATAGAAATTTTTTTTTCAACGTTGAGGAAAATTCAAGAAGACAAAAAAAGAAGAGGAAAAAAAAACTAAAAGTGGAATTAAGCGTTTTCTGAATAAAGATAGTCATCGTCTGAAGCTCTTAAAAGCGACGTACCGTTTTGCGTTTGCCATACAAAACGCATAGTATACCTCGAACTCTGGATTATTCGAGAGTTTTTCGATTACGATTGCAAAATACTGGTACGCTGGTGGATGTGCTCAGCAGCACTTTGAGCATTGCGGTCCTCTCTCTCTCTTTTTTTTTCTCTCTCTCTCGCTTCCTAACCAAGATAACAGCAAACCACTCCTCTACTTTGTTACGTTCCCTCCGATGAGATCCGCAAACCTCCGACGAGTAGAGGCGCCTTGAATATCCGTTTATATGCGAATCGAAGAAATGGTAGGAAGGCCAAGAAAAGGAGGGATCTCCCAGCAAACTTTAAATGCTCCTTTATGCGAAATATTCTTTATTCTCCCAAAAACTTGACGAATTCAGCAAAATCCTCCACTCGAAACCTTAAAAATCATCAAAAATAATTATCAGTTAAATTAAAATACCAATTAAAACAGTAAATTAAAATAATAAATTAAAATAATAAATTAAAATAATAAAATAAAACAATAAATTAAAATAATAAATTAAAATAATTTAATAATAAAATTAAAATTATAAACTAAAAATAATAATAGCGAAATATGGAGTTTCCAATAATGGGAAATTTCTCTGTAATATTTCCAACAAGCTAAAGTGATTAACAAAAAAAAGGAAAAAATAAATACTGTTTAAAAAAACAGTGTAAATTTAAATTTAAATTTAATTAATTTAATTGTAAATTTTTCGAAAAAAATTCAATAACTTTCAAAATATTAATTTTGAACAAAAAAAAATAGAGAAGAAATTTGATTTTCGATGTCATATATATTTCGGTGTAAAAAAAGAATAACTTTTAGATTGGCCCGACTCATAAAGATGGCAATAAAAAAATCAATTCGTTAATTTCCCTAGAAATTTTAAGATTCTCACGCGCCTTGTATGATGATTCATTTTTTAATTACGAGATAACGGTCCAGGGGGATTTTAAACAATATTAAATTTGATAGTTTCGAGAAAATCCTAGGAAGAGCCGAAAAAAAGAGAAGGGGACCGGATTGGAAAGGTTAGTTGATTAAGGGCTTGATCGTGAGAAAGGAATCTCTTTCGCAATTCATTTAAATACACTTTATAGATTCGCTAACATCGTCTTACGTCAAGTTTGTTTTCTTTCCTTCTCTTTTTTTTTTAATATACAAAATTCATTATTCATAAACAGTTAATGTTTTTAATAACTAATTTTTCCAACAGGTAATTTTTCTAACAGCTAAATTTTCCAACAGCTAATTTTTCTAACAGTTAATTTTTTTAATAACTAATTTTTCCAATAGATAATTTTTCCAACAGCTAATTTTTCGAACAACTAATTTTTCTAATAGCTAATTTTTTTAACAACTAATTTTTCTAACAAATAATTCTCCCAATAGATAATTTTTAAAACTAATTTTTTTTAACAGATAATTTTTCCAATTAAGTTAATTTTCCTAACAGCTAAATTATTTTAACAGATATATTTTTGATTCATAAATCTTTTTCAGGGTTGCCACAAAAAATTAATTTTGTTTTTCCCTGACTCCCAGACAAAATTTTGACTTTTTCCCTGACCCTAAAGAATATTCTTATTCATTCTAAAATATATTAGATACTCAATAAAAAAACATTTTATAACATTTACTTACTAAATTTCTTTAATTGCAAAATTGTTCGAAAACATAAATACCTTTTTTTTAAATAAATATTTAATCAATATTATTCCATAGGAATTAAGATTTTCAAGAACTTTCAAATTCAAACCTTTCTGAAATTCAACAACTTAAACAAATTTTAATTTCCATAAAAAATGTCCAAAAAAATGAAATTATTTACAAAAACTTTAATAAAATTCGTTGCAGAATATCAATTATTTTTATAAAATACTTGTATACAAGTAATAAAATTTTTCACATGAATTCAATTATATAAAAAATTTAATAAAATTAGTTGTAAAAATTCAATTATTGTCATAAATAATAAAATTTTTCAAAGAATATAAATTATTTTTAATAAAATTTAATAAAATTCCTCGAAAAATATAATTATTTTTAAAAATCTTTTGCAAGAATTCAATATTACATTTCATAAATAATAAAATTCTTCGCTGAAATACAAATATTTTCAAAATCTACTATTTTAATAAAATTTCTCAAAAGAATTCAATTATTTAATCAAAAATGTAATAAAATTCGATGCAAGAATTCAATTATTTTCATAAATAATAAAATTCTTCACATGATTTCAATTTCAATTATTTAAAAGAAATATAATGAAAATTCGTTGCAAGAGTTCAATTATTTTCATAAATAATAAAATTCTTCACGGGATTTCAATTATTTTTAATAAAATTTTAAGTAAATTCTTCGAAAAATGTTATTATTTTCAAAAATTTTATTAAAATTCTTCGAAAGAATTCAATTATCAATTAGTTTTAAAAATTTATGCTATAATGCTTGTAATGTTCAATTATTACCTAAAATTTTAACTGAAATTCATTTTTAAATCAATTTTTATTATAAAATTCTACGAGAATTCAATTATTTAAATAAAAAAATTAATAATTTATTCAATAAATGAATGTTTCTTAAAATTGAATTCTCAAAAAGAAGTTCATTAACTAATTTTTAAATATTTGAATTTTTTTGACGAATTTTAATTAAATTTTCAAGAATAATTATATTTTTCGAGGAAATCGATTAAAATTTTATAAAAATAATTGAAATTCTATATTATGAGTTTTATTATTTATGAAAATAATTGAATCTGTGTAAGAAATTTTATTATTTAAAAAAATAATGAAATATTGCGAAGAAATTTATATACAAAAATTTGTAAATAATTGAATTCCTGTGAAATTTTTATTATTTATGAAAATAATATTGAATCTTTACAAATAATTTTATTAAAATTGTATATTTTACATAATTGAATTTTTTTCGTAAATCTTATTAAAATAGTAGATATTAAAAGTCATTGAATTGGGGGAAATTTTTGAAAATAATTGAAATTTTGCCAAGAATTTTATTTAAATTTTCGAAAATAATTAAATGGAGAAGAATTTTGTAATTGAAATTTGGACGAGTATTTTATTATTTATAAAGATAATTAAAATTTTGACTAGAATTTTTAAAAAGTTTTCCAACATAATTGGATTTTTGTGACGAATTTGATTACTTTGTTTGAAAATAATTGAATTTCTGCAATCAGTTGTTACTTTTTTAAAATTCAATTTTTTCCAATACTTTAATAAAAATTTCCTGACTTTTCCCTGATTTCCCTAACCAATTTTATTTTCCCTGATTTTTCCCTGAACTCCCTGACCTGTGGCAATTCTGTTTTTGCTCAGCTGAGATGCTAATTTAAGGGCCAAAAAAAATAAAGGGAATAATTAGCTATTTTGCAAAAGAAAAAAGAAATGAAAATGGTCATTGCGTCCTGTTCGAAAATGGAATTCGAGACGATGAACAAGATGGAATGATAACAAATTATAATTCTGTATACACTTTGGTTTAAATGATTTTATAATATCCCTCACTCGCAAAAGTAAAGAGCAGATCCTATTCGGAAGTCGCGCAATTTCCAGCAAAGATTATATGACTTGAATTTTATACGTATAAGCGCTCGAGATATGGTGTCATATAATTTTACACATGACCTGATCAACTATTTCAAATATTTCGCACAAATTATTTTATTTAACGGTTTGAACATTCCCATTTTATAGTGTTTATAAATTCTCTTTTTATGTCATTCAACACAAGATTTCCTGCGTAAATGCTTTTCTGCAATCACAGTCGGATTTTAATAGAAAATAGTTACCACTTATTTTCTTTTAATTATGTCGAAATATATATTAATAATATTATTAATAAATAATTTACTTTTTTATGATAAAATATTCATTTTTTCTAATAATATTTTTTTAGAAATATTTATAGGAATATTTTTTGGAATATTTTCTAGAAAACTTCCTTTTTTCCTCAAGCAGGCAACGGATCGACTTTAAGAAACAAGAAAAGGCGGTTTAGTTAATTCAAAGTAAGAAAAATGTCGTTTGCTTATTTCGGATTATTACAAAAATTTTATTTTTTATTTTCCTGATTTTTCTCTAATTTCCAGAAATTTTTTTTTAAACATTTTCCCTTATTCTAATTGTAACTTTAAATCTATTTTATATTTTGTAAATAATGCAAATGATTTTAGTATTTTGTAATTTTCTAATAAATAATTTTGTAAAATTCAATTTTCAAAATATTTTTTCACGTTTTTTTCAAAAACAAGATTACTTTTAAAAAATTGTAATATAATTCTTCAAAATATAAAATTTATTTCAATAAAATTTGACGATATTTACAATCGTTTGACACTCTCAATTCATTACTAATTCAATTAATTACTAAGTAATTCTAAAAATTGCTAAAGTAACTTCTTTAAAATTAATTTTTTTTAAGAATTTCTATATAAAATTCTTTTCTGAATCAATTATTTTTAATAACTATTTATATTCATTGTCCGAATGTTTTCGTTTTATTTGTTTTATTTTATAAAAGATCTCGTACGTTAAAGATTATTTAACTAATTATTATTTTTAATAATTTTAACAAAGTTCTTCGAGAATTAAAATATAATTTTTTACATTTAAATTCTCGATAAATAAAGTTCCTTTAAATTTATGTCTAAATTTCAATTGTTTTCAAATTAATTTTACGAAATTTTGATTATTCGACAATTTTCAATTACAGTTCAAAAATTACAAAAAATTACTAACAAATAATTAATTGAAAAAAAATACAATCACAATCTTGCAAGTTGATTAGAATTTTTAATTAAAATGATTCAAAATTCAAATCTTAAAAAAATTCAATTTGAAACCTTTTGAAATTTAAATATTTCTAAAAATTAACACTTTAACTCTTCGAGAATTCAATTATTTTCTAGAATTTTGAACTAAAATTCACCTAAAAATTAATTATTCTCAAAATTTTCAGAAAGTTATTAGAAAATTGAATTATTAAAAAAAAAGAAATTTCACTTAAAATAAACCATTGTTTTCAATTCAATTTTACAAAATATCTATTATTCACATATTTTTTAATTATTTATTTAAAAATTCAATTATTTTGAAGAAATTTCAATTACAATTTTTCAAATAACTAATTTCTCTTAATTTTTTTAATTAAAATTATTCAAAATTGAAATCTTCAAAAATTTTAATTCGAACCCTTTTTAAATTTCATTATTTCCAAAAATTTCTTCAATGGCTCCTTCAAAAGTCAATTATTTTCTTGAATTTTTAAACAAAATTCTGCTTTAAATCAATTATTTTTAAAAATTCAAAAAAGAAGAAGAAACTTCATTGAAAATACAATTTTAAATTCAATTGTTTTCAATA